GACCATGCATTGATGCTATGATGCTTTCAGACAAAGTAGACCACCACCTACTACTCGATAAGATAGCAAAATGTGGGGTAGACAGCATCACCACCAGATGGATTCGTAGATGGCTGGCCGGCCGTACTCAGCGTGTGGTCCTCAATGGAACCGCATCTACGTGGAGGGAAGTGTGCAGTGGGGTGCCCCAGGGCTCTGTCCTGGGCCCAGTGCTCTTCAACATCTTCATCAATGATTTGGACGAGGGGATAGATGGGGAACTCATCAGATTTGCAGACGACACCAAACTGGCAGGAATAGCCAACACTCCAGAAGACAGGCTTAAGATACAGAAGGATCTGGACAGACTTGAACACTGGGCGCTATCTAACAAAATGAAATTCAATGGTGAAAAAAGTAAGGTTCTACATTTAGGCAAGAAAAACCAAATGTACAGGTATGGTATAGGGGGTACCTTGCTCAATAGTAACAACTGTGAGAGGAGTCATAGTGGACAATCACATAAATATGAGCCAGCAGTGTGCTGCAGCTGCCAAAAAGGCCAACACAGTGCTAGGCTGCATTAACAGAGGGATAGAATCAAGATCACGTGAAGTGTTAATACCACTTTACAAGGTCTTGGTAAGGCCACACTTGGAATACTGCATCCAATTTTGGTCTATTCTATTCTATTCTATTCTATTCTATTCTATTCTATTCTACTCTACTCTACTCTACTCTACTCTACTCTACTCTATTCTATTCTATTCTATTCTATATTTCCTGATTAGCCCATTGAGGGCCATCTGGCTGTCAAATACTCGTTCCCTCCTTTGACTCTAATGAGCTTATAAGCGTTCCTGAGGTCCAGCTGGGTAAATATGTGAGCTATCTGCAATCGGTCCCTCAAATCTGATCTCAGCAGTGGTGGGTAGTGATCCCTTATTGTGACCTTGTTTTGAGGCCCTTGTAGTTGTGGACTGTGCAGATCGGAACCTGTCCCTCTGCTCCCCACCTGGCAGAAGCAACTAGGAGGGTCTCCTGACCCATAGGACGCCTCGGCCCTCTTTCCAAGCTGAATACTCCCCTCCCCACTGTGGGTGCTTGAGAAAGGGGCCGTGGTCCTTTCCCTGGATCTGCGCATAGCGAGTGGGGTAATGCTCCTTTGTTTATGCCCTGCTGGTCATCCCGCTCTCCCTCCACAGGTACCTGGCTGGGCAAACTCTGAGGATGTGCCCGGTTGGAGCAGAGAGCTAAATAATCCCATCGTCTTCGCCTTTCCTCAGCAGTTGCTGTTTCTCCGGCTGCTCCCAGTTGCATCAGCTCTCCTTCCCCAGATCAGTTGTGGTAGGTGTGAAGGGAGGGAGCCTCGTGAGCTGGGACTGGCCCTGCACAACTGCACCCGGTTTCCTGATGCAAATCTCCCAAACGGGCATCTCTGAGCATGCAAGGGTGGGATGCTGTCACTCCTCCGGATTTTGTGTAATTCCTTCAAATAATTCTGTTAAGTCCGGAGAATAATGGCGCTTGAGACGATGCATTTCTAACAAGTCTTTATTCTCTGCTTCCAATCTACAAACAACCCAAGCAGAGGCACGCCTTCTACCACAGATTCCCTCCCACAGACCGGTACGCTCCCACAGAG